GTGCATGTTGATGAAAATTGCAAAGGCAGTGGCCTGTGGCGCCTGCCGCTGTTAGTGGATATTAAGGTTGATTTGGAGCGCGGGGGCTGAAAGCTGAGCCGCCGCACGCGCGCAATCTGCCGTGAGAGCGCCATCCGCTGCATCAAAATGCAAAACAGCATGTACAACAGCTCAGGAGCCAAGTGTGCGGCACGCCAACGCCGGATCCCGGTCGGCTAGCCGAGCGCCGTATTACCATCAGCGCAGCGCGGCTACAGAGATCATGGAAAACAGCAGAGGTTACTGCAGACGTCAGATGACGCGTGTTCGGATGCGGTCACGGTGACTATCGAACGTGAAATATCACAAAGGCATTCGGCAATTAAAAAATGCTGAACGGTTAATGATAACAGTGGGGAAGTACGATAATCCAATAAAGGTCAAAAGCAAGTGCAATAAACAAGGAAAGGTAAACATGGTACTGCATGGAAGTTCTTCTAAAGACGTACCTGTTTCAAAATGAAAGAGCAGCGAATGGCTTCTCCACGAGGACGAAATCAGTCATGAAATGAGCAGGCCAGGGTGTTGGAGGCCAGGGGACAAAGCCTGCCATGTGTCACCTACGCAGCGGGTCACTCTGCTGCTTCGCACAGTCTGCTCTGTAACTTTCTCACAGGGTCTTTTTTTTGTATCTGTTTGAGTTCCACTTGCAGGAAACAGTCTTGCAATTCTGATAATATTAAGACTAACTGATTACATAGCTGATATGCAGCAGATCATATATCTTGAATTCTACAAACTTTGAACTCTCACCCCTTAACCACATGTTTTAATACATGACTTAAACCACAGTTGTGTTGGGATAGGGGTTTTCTCTGTGATCTGACGGATTGATGAGAACCTTTCAGGAGGGATGTCAGGCCAGGAAGGAGGAAGCTATTTTAATGATTAAGCTTCTGTTCTACCTGTTGATTTTGAGGAGCTGAGTGAGCTCCAGCAGGGCAAAAAAGAATCCAGCTAAATGTTGGAGATTGATGATCGATCGATAACTGAGAGATGCCTGGTGTACTACACACTGTCCCGAGAGCTAGCTGACTTACTGCACACTGTCCCGAGAGCTAGCTGACTTACTGCACACTGTGCCGAGAGCTAGCTGACTTACTACACACTGTCCCGAGAGCTAGCTGACTTACTGCACACTGTCCCGAGAGCTAGCTGACTTACTGCACACTGTCCCGAGAGCTAGCTGACTTACTGCACACTGTCCCGAGAGCTAGCTGACTCACTAC